ATCCCTGTGATTTGGGGTAGTACTTTGAATCTTTTTAAGGGCAGTCATACCTTGTGCGGAAATTGGGGGGAAAGGGCTGTCTCAACACGTTAGGGCTCCCTGCTCTAGGAGCCTTGATGTTAGGAGGTTAGTGGGGGATTACTCGCGTGAAGCAGAGCCATTTCGAACAGGGAGCAGTGCGACATTTGCGCGGGTCCGTTGGACAGGCATAGTACGAGCGAAGACAGGAATGCAGGAGAACTCTGGACTTCAGGCGCAGGCTTGTCACTTTCGACATATCACAGGATCTTCAAAGCTAGACTGATACTAGTACGTACTTCGACATGACTTCAGCGGACATGTGTGTAAGGCTGTATCGCCTGGGCACCTGACGGAGTGCGCCTTGCCACCGGCTATCAGGCTGAAGATGATCATTGCTCCATGCATGTTTGATTTCAGAAGCGTACCTGGCGGACGAACGTTTGGCCTAGCTAGTTTGAACTGCTTACCTTCAGAATTGAGAGAGATATGGGCCCAAGGGAAACTGAAGGTTTTCAAAGGTTTCAGGGCGTGCTGTCTTGAGCGGAAACTTGACTGCTCAGCTAGTGTCAGCTGAATAAGTGCACAACCCGGTTCTGCGAAGATGCCTACTGCAATGTCGTTGGGAAGGCTAGCTGTGATTTTTGCGTGGGTCAAGCTGTATCTTCGGAGGCAACAACTTGACCCATAACGTTAACGAGGGCTTAGTGGCCCCTGGCATCCTTCCCCTTTGTGTCGGCTTCAGCTGCTCCCCAGCAAAAATGCTTGGAACGGTTTCAGTAATTTCTGGCATCTGCCCCGAAGTCGATCTATTCACGCGGCTGTTGACCCGGCATTAATAGGAGAGTGATCACGCCCCCACAGAAATCCAGGCAGGCATCTTTTGTGCTGAATGACCGGGGATCAATTTGTGAGAAGGTCTGAAGAATGAGAGAACCCACCTTGACAGGACGGTGAGGTTGTCGTGTGGTATCCCAGCGCTGCCCTTTCCACGGTGAGTTGCTCGGGCCACACGAACCAGGCCAGTGAAATGGGTGTTGCAGGTGCAGGGTTCTCTGGAGGGATGCTGCTTCCATAATAAGCCATCTTTTGCTCGGTCGTCCCCATGTTTCCCATATCTCCAAGCGGCGTTGTTCGGGGTTGTAGGAGCATGGAGCTTGGCTTCCGAGAAGGCTGCTTCAGCTTGCCGCGTTTGACCTACCGCTTAGCCTGATGAACCATTCGTAGGCAGTAGGAGTAGGAGAAGGGTGACAAACATCCAAAAAAATGGTGTCGGCCTGGCAGGCATGAGACACCTAGGCCTGAGGTCCATACATTCTTGTTCTGGAAAGCTGAGAACTAATTGTGCTTCAGACCCTAAACCCTAAACCCAGGCCCAAATCCCCCGACTTCATTGGCCGGAGGGTTTGATCATGAGAGTACTTTGAAGGCCGCAGAAAGCCTCGCGCATGCAAGAGCGAAGCCTGGGGCCCCACCAGACGCTGCCCTCATCTGGGCTGCCAAGGAACTTAAGTGAAGTAACTTTAACTTATAAATATACAATCTCTATATACATACATGTATATACACATATGGGGATGACAGAATGGTTGCACATGATTTCCTTGTAATGGTACGTAACTTAGCTGAAGCGTCTGAATAGCAGCCCGGTAACTCGACATCCCCAAGTTACAGGCCCCAGGCCCAACCTCACAGCTTCACCACCTGAGCAGTACCCCTTGAGCTATAGTCAAAACTACTTAAGAAGGTTTTATGGGGGATTATAAGGGGAGTGTTACAGGGGTTATTAAGGGGGATACTAGGAGTTTAGACTACGGCTCATTTAAGGGGTTGCTATAGTCCCCACTGCATAGTAAGATGATATCTTCCTTACTTTAATGGGTACCTATAGTCCCCACTACAGAGTAAGATGATATCTTCCTTCTGGGTACTGTACTTTACATAAGAAGCATAGAATGTTACTTGGCTCAACCACTGAATGCCCTAAGGTCCCTAAACCCTAAACCTGAAACCCTAAACCCAAAATGAACCCTAAACCCTCAATAATCCCTAAACCCTAAACAAACCTTAAACCCTAAATCTACCCTAAACCCTAAACCGCGAACGCAGGTCCGTTGCATTGCTTGGAGCCCACAAGGTGGGGAGCAACTCCGCTCTTCAGGTTTAGGGTTCAGTTTAAGGTTGAGGGTGTAGAGCTTCTATTATGTGATAGGCTCCTCAAGGGGGCCCCTTGCCTGGGGGACCCACAATAAAGCCTCTCTACGACCTCCCTAAGGCTCCCTAGAGTCCCAAAAGGTCTCCTATCATGGGGGCCCCTTACATGGGGCCCCATTATAGCTTCTATACTTATGCTATTGTGTGGGGTGGGGGGGGGGGGGTGTTCGGGGTACCTTTAAAGGGGCTTATAGGGGTTGCTTAGGGAGATTTAGGCTGTAGCCTTTAGGGTTCCCAAAGTTAGAGGTACCTGGTATGGGTCCCGGAATCAGGGTTGTAGTTTTATGAGGTCTATATTTCCATATTGGGGCCCTCCAATTTATGGAAACTACCATATAGACAAAATGGTGGGTTATAGATAGGATTGGAGTTCTACAGTAATGCAGATCTTCTACGACTAGCCTGTGTCAATGGGTTTGAAAGGTTCCTTTAAGATGTCTTGCTCTGTGGCGTTCCCGTGGGAATTCAGATCCACAGACGGGGTAAAGTTTGCCGATCTACTGGGTAGGCCCCTGGGATATTTAATATGTTCCCTAATTGCTTTAATAGTGGACCCTATATATCAACATTTTTCAGAGGGTTTTAGGGGCCAACCCAGTCTAGCAAGCCTTCCAATGATGTAAGTCCGTGCAAGCTTGTACACTTCCATGCAGTAGAGCCCCTGAAAAACTCAGGTACCCATAGCCTTAATCAAGATATTCCAAACCGGAAAACTGCAGGCAAAGACTGCGTGGCTTCGGGGTCTTTGGATGGGACCGTCAGGACAGGGCTGCACAAATTGTCCTGGATGCCCCCTGCCCTGCATGAGTCGCTTTGTGCTGATGTGACTACATGAGCCGATTCGCAGATACGACTGCTGATTTTTAATTCTCTTCCTGCAGAGCACTTCTTACGTCTGCTGAGGTACTGCGCAGGCCTAGGCAGATCTGCAGAGCATTAAGCTTACTGAAGTTGCTTTTTGCTAGTTATGTTTACTGTTGTCACCGAGAGCATTCAGAACGTATTCTTTTTTAGTTGCAGTACTTCATCAGGAGAGTATAACCGCTTCAACAAAGCAAGCAGCACCATATGATTGTTCTCCCTACATGATCAAATCCGGCCCAGGATCGCCTGAACCTTCTTTATCTGAACCTTATCCTTCGGTCCCCAAACATGACACTGTAAGTGTAAGCATCTGCCTGAATGCATGAAGAGGATATGGGAGCCGAAGAAAGGCGTGCTGCATGTTTTTGGTCTGCATTTTCACCTGGATAGCCGACCCGGCCTCTGTCTACAAGTTATGAATGTACACATATCGCTTGACTAAGTATCTTCGTATGTGTACATTTGCATGTATAAAATATTCATATATACACATATATATATATATGTACACGTGCTTTTTATGTCCTCACACACACATACACTTACAAATGTCCTTTTCTTTGTTGGGTGGGATTCCGTGAAGCGCAGCAGGCATCTACGCCAGAGTACTTCCTGGGCACGGGTATGCACAGCGGCCCCTGAAGCGGTTCCCCTGAATTATCCTGTCTTCCAAACAAGGCCTCTACACCTTACAAGTTCATCTGATTAAGCCCTAGAACGGTAGCAAACTGCAGATGTTTGGTTTGATGTTGATGGCCGGAGCCCAGATTGGAACCCAAAATGCCAGTGCATTGTTGCTGTTGCCTCCAGTTGATGTGTGCTACAGGTAGCTTGTTCGTTGGCTGTTGGGAAAGTATTTGATGCTGACTAGGCACTCGGACCCAAAGGGAGGGTGGCAAGATGCAGAGGTACCTTGTCTGCCTAGCGATGAGCATGTTGAATCGAAGAGCCTTGTGGCAGGTAAGTGCCTCAAGACCTGTCAGGGCGATGGTGGCTATGTGTCATGCTCAGATTCGTTCAAGCCAAAGCTCCTGAAGCTTAATCGGCTTAATCCATAAGCCTGAAGAATTGCTGAGAATGCTGTTCCCTGCAAAGCCTGCTCGAATGGTTGCCGTCCTCTATTTAGAATAGATCGGGCCTAGAAAAACCCTGATAGGAATCCTTCAATTATTAGCCCGAATCATAACACGCATGTAGACGCTACGAATCCCACCGTAAAGCACTATCTGACACCGAGCGTCCCTTTGAGCAAAGTTTTGTCAGTGGCCCTTAGTATGAAGGAGCTAGTGCAAGGGCTATCTTTTAGGCAGGAAAGCCGCATTTCAGGGATTGAAATGCTTCAATCGTGCCAGGCCCACAGGTTCAGACTTACAGAGTTAGCGATTGATCCTGGGGATCGATAGGTCAATAAAGGGGAGCCAGCTGGAAAAGAGAATGGTAAATGTAATGGGTGCTGAGGTCATTATAGGATTTAGGATGTATGGACCTTTTTGAAGGTGCCCATGAGAAGGATAATAGCACACTGTGTCCGAACTGGGACATAAAGGCGAGCAATGCTAAGGTCTATTGCCTCCTCTGGCATCCGGAGGCTTTGTGAGTTGAATGAGCAGGTTCAGTGCGTATGTGCACGTGTATGGTTGAGAGGCTGTCTTTATTGAGGAAATCTAAGCTATGCAGGTTGCAGCCTCTTGAGGATGTACAGAAGGACCTCTACCCAAGCAGTCTGGGGCTTGTGGCTCCGGAATTTTCGCAGATGTCCATCATAACCCTTGAGCGGTGCAGGTGGGTAGGTTCATGCAGATGTTGTAAGACCTACCTGACAAACTCCTGGCTCGCCGCAGCTTTTGCAGTCTCAACCAGTTCGTGCAGTGTTCAGAGTCATAGACCCCACTTCTCGTGTAGTCATGTACGCCTTTGCCTCTTTCACGGCGCTGCTTGTGGCGCTCTCCGGAGCGGCAGAGGTGAACGAGACCAACACGTCGACCACCACCATGACATCCACCATGACATCCACAATGACGTCCACCATGACGTCCACAATGACGTCAACCATGACGTCAACCACGACAGAGACCATGACTACCACCACGACGATGAACATGACGATGAACATGACAATGGACAACTCAACTGAGGCATCAAACGACACCACCACGACCACAGGGGCAAGTGGCAGCTCCCCAGAAGCACGGAGATTCGACTTTCCTGTTTTCTACCCTTTCTAACTCCAGGCTTTTCTGTCCAGGAAACTTTGCATGTAAGGTGCTGTGAGCTATAGCCGAAGGTGCTATCCGATTGTGGTCGCGTGGGTGTCCTCTGTGCTCGGCCTCGTTGCGGCCGCGTGAGCTGCGCACGACTTGAGGGACTAGTTTTGAAAGGTGCTTTTCTCGCAGGCGCCCATCCAGGCGTACACTTTGCATTCTTTTGTAACCTGAAATGAGACAGTCGGTGCATGTTGCAGCAAGTTTAGAGCCCGCTGGGGGAAGGATGTGGCGCGTGTAAGGTGCACCCTACCATGATCCAAGCGGGCCTTATCGCTAGCTTGACTGAGCAACGGCGGAGACTAGGGTTGAGGCTGTTCGACTTGGCGGTGTCTTTCAGGATGGTTCCCCCATATTCCTTGTATAGACAACTTTCTATCCTCCTGAAAACCCGACCCAATTCCCATCTCTAACTGTTCGGGCGTTGATTTTACACCTGCAGACTGAGGTAGGAAGGCGCTCTTAAGTTGCCATAAGGGTTCATCATACAGCCTATTTTACGTGCCGTGGCAGGATATGCCCACGCAGCTTGCGAAGCATTCGACGAATTTGGCAACCAACTGGCCTAAAATCCAAACATGAAAAATTGCCCCTGTATATAGAGTCCTGAGATGTTGAGCATATGATAGATTCTGCTTCTTTGATGTTGGAGGCCTTACACTTGCAATTTGGATGCTAGTGGGGTTTCTCTAGATGTCCCCCGGCCCCCCTTCCTGCATGGGAGCTTAACCATCAGCAGCCGTCAAAAAGTAGGAGCCATTGTGCTTCAACCTGGATGTCTCCATGGCTTGCTGTTCCATGGTAATGTGAACAGTTGAGGACATTGGGGACGGCCATTTTCCTCTCAACAACACCTGCAACACTTGGTTGCAATTTTGCAGGAGGCCTGAAATTGGCCTCGTTTCCACTACAGTAATTCGCAGCACCGAAGAGACGCGCGCGCGTGCATTGGAGACCACAAGACGTTGAGGTTCACTGTAGAGTGTAGGCCTCAAAAGCTGTTGACCCCAAGCCTGCCACCGTATTTTGGGTTGAGAGCGGGTTTGCCACACTTGGGGGGTTACCATTTGGATGTCCCTACAATGAGGACTATGCTATTTTTGGGTCTATATTGGGCTCCCTCTATTTCAGGCGGGTACAACAGTGAGTATACTTTTTTGGGGTCAATGTTATGGTCCCTCTATCCCAGGAAACTGCCACATGCCTTTCTCTTACGTTGTATTTTGTTAATCGCAAGTCGAGTTTATTGCCATTGCATCAGCTTGCGTGCACATGGTTAGATTGTGGCCGCACACCCCGTGCTTGTAGCATGTTACGACCCAAGCCGCCTAGGAAACGAATCAACGATTGGCTAGCGGGGAGCGGGGGTTTGCTATATATATATAATTATGTAATGCAATATATATATATACATATTTTTTTATTATGGTTATAAGAATATATACAAGCCTGAAAAGCATGAGCAACGTTAGGGGCTTTGGTAGTTTCCGGAGACGGAGTGCGCCAAAATTGCCCGCAGCCGCTACACTTTAACTGCCTATATAACCCTATCATCCCTTAGCAGGACCCCCGTAACCCTCAACCCTAAACTTTAAAGAGTAGTTTCCGTTTTCGTTTCCATTATCTTATGCAACCCCTACTGTATATCCCACTTATGATTCCTATATAGCCCTATATGTTCTGCTTAAGGGGTCCAGTATTGACCCCCCTAAACCTAATGTCCCGGAAAGCCCAACCCTTAACCCTCAACCCTCAAAGCACATGGAGGCCACAGCTCTGGCTACAGGGGGCACAGACGGCGTCGCACGGCTCTTTGACCCGCGCACGGGGAACTGCCTAGTGCTCTGCCAGGTGAAGTTTGAGGGGTCGGGGGTTTAGGGGTTGAGGAGGTTTTAGGGCTCTTGTGGCTTGGGGGTCTGGGTAGGCCCCCTGGATATTTCATATTTTCTCTAATTGCTTTAATAGGGGACCCTATATATTAATATTTTTCAAATGGTTTTAGGGGCCGACCCAGGGGTTCAGAGCTTAGAGACTCCTAGCTTAAAGCAAGTGACCGAAGAGTAGCTTTCCCAGCTCAAAGGGCTCTGGGTTTCACGTTATACGGTCTCAGACTGTAGGTGAGCCCCCCACCCCAAAAAAAATTACCTCAAGGCATAATGGGAATGGTATCAGGGTGCTGTATCTTCCTACTGTACTGACATGACTGGATGGGGCCCTATCCTAAGGTTGACGCTGGAGGGTTAAAGTAGGGCTTGAGGGTTTTCGTGGCATTTGATGGATTGAGATGACGTAGGCTTGTTCGGCGGATCGCGCCGACATTTGTATGTAGAGAATTTGGCTGTGCTGCTTCAGGTTGGATTAGGTTTGCCAGCTTCCCAAACTCTGGCAACTCAGGCTGAAAACCATCACATGGTCAGAGTTGAAATCAAGATGATACCGTGCCTCCTTTCAAAGTGGTAAGTCATCCTGACATAAAGTCAGAGTACCTAGAGGTCGTATACCTACACACAATAGAAAGCTTCTTGATATGGTTTGGAAACGGCTTGGCAGGTACGCTGGGAGGGCCATGTGGGTCCCATCTCCTCCCTGGCCTGGGGACCAGGCGCAGCGGCTGAGGTTTAGAGGTCAGGGTTTGGTCTATCAGGATCTTCCTTTTTTAGGGGGGATGCTTGGGATGCTTTGCTGATGGTTTGCGGGATGCTATTCGTCCAATATGATTTGTTTCGGGCTTGCATTGGCGCAAAAAGTCCAGATGCTCCTTTGATGCTATCATCGCATATCATAGAGTTGTTGTTGGATTCCTGGTTTTCAGGGCGTGGTTACTCTCATGCACAGAGCTGAGTATCCGTATAAACCCTACATAATTCCGGTTTCCCTTGCGTTCTCACTTTCTGTTCAGTCCTCCGATTCTCGAGTAAGGGGGGGGGGTAATTAGACACCTTCTGAACTGTTAGCATTACTAGTATTAGCTATTATTATCTATCTATTATTATTATTATCTTCACTTTTACTTTCACCATTACTGTTACTATGCCTATTGCTACAACCATATTGGGTCTTTCCACAGGAGAAGCAGTCTCTGGCTCGTCTCCCCGTCGTAACCTCAACTTGCGGGGCTTCAAAAGGTCTTGTATCAAGGGAGCATGAATCGGAAGTCTCCACATTCTTGCTGGACAGTGAAGGACAAGTACGACACGCAAGGTGCAACAATACTGCTCTTCGCAAATCACCGTCAACTACATGGGATGCTTCCTATTCTTGGGGCCAAGTAACGTCCTCTTCATCACTCCAAGGCCTGCCTAACTTGTCCTCTCCTCGTTAGTGGATGCCACACCCTACACCGCGGTTAGATGTTCATGGGCAGTTTCATGTTGGAGTATATGTTGCCCAATTAAGGTCACGTGAAACTTAAGAGCCTTCTGCTCAGTCCGCCAACCCCAGAGGCAGAGAAGGGACGGACACGGCGTACCAAAGCGACGACGCAAATGGACCACGCCACGCGGCAAGTGGAGCGTCGCAACGTGGCATGAGCGGTTGTGAGAGGACACCGCACCGCTCAGATGTCAGTGTTTCGCCCACGCGCGCTCGCGCGAACGCATGCGCGCGGCATTCGCGTGTAATGTGGCACCCCTTTTAATGATGGGGGGTCCCCCC